ACTACAATGCTATTATTACTCCTTCTGGAAGCAATGTTGATGCTCATGATCTTCTTACCACTGGACACCATGGTGACTTCCATGATCTCACCTGCTACTAGTGACCATATTAAGGTAAGTTTCCTTTTTGGCAATATATAGAATGGTCATTTCCGAGATTTCATGAACCTTTGTTAACTTAGCTGATATTTGTAATTCATGCTGCCACCTGCAACCATGCTGATGTCATTGACCGTTGCTGCCTCTGTTAACCTTGTTGATGTTTATGAAAGGACCTGACAGGAATTCCTATTGTTTCTGTAAGCCATGTGGATGCATACGGTCCTTGTTACCATGGCATAACATCTTGATTACCATGACCTCTCTGGTCCCTTGTGACCATATTGATGTATATGTTTTGTGTTGCCAACATAAAGAATGTAAATTTCCAAGAACAAAAATACCAACTGAAACTAAGTTGATATCCAGAATACTTGCTGTCACCTCCAACCAAATTGAATTCATTCATCCCCGCTACATCTGTTAAACATGCAATGTCCATGAGCAGACATACCATGCCATTCCTACTATTTCTGGAAGCCATGTTGATGCCAGGGTTCTTTCTTGCCCATGGATCTGATGTTGATGTCCATCTGTCTTCCTACCTGAGACCATGTTGATGCAAGAGTTCTGTCTTTTCCACAAGAAGAATGTTAATTTCCCTGATCTCAACTACTATAGTAACCTATGTGGCTATCCATTCAACATGCTACCACCTGAAACCTTGTGGATTTAATTGATCCCTGCTGCTTCCTTTACCCATATGGATGTCCATGATTGGAACTATAATGCTTTTCCTACTACTTCTGGTAACATTCTTGATGGTCATGGTCTTGTAAACCAATGGACACCATATTGATTTCCATGATCTCTTTTTCTACCGTTGATGATATTAATGTACGTGTTCCTTGTTGCCAATGTATAAAATAGTAATTTCCAAGATTTAACCCTCTTTTGGTAAATAAGTTGATACACATCATTCATGATGCCACCTGCAGCCATGCTGATGCTATTGATCACTGCTGCCTTTGCAAACCCTGTTGATATTAATGAATGGAGCTCCCATGCATTCCTATTGTTTTTGTAAGCCATGTTGATGCAGGTGGTCTTTATAGCATGAGTTAACATCTTGTTTGCCGTAAATTCTCCAGCCCCATATGGCCATATTAAGTCAAGTGTTCCTTTTTGGCAATGTGTAGAATTCCAATTTCCAATACTTAACAAGTATTGGTAACTAAGCAGATATCCCTAATTCATGCGGCAACCTCCAACCATGCTGATTTCATTGATCCCTGTTGCCACTGTTAATCCTGTTGTTGTCTATGAATGCACCTCCAATGCATTCCTATTGGTTCTGTAAGACATGTTCATGCATGTGGTCATTATTACCGTGGAATAACACCTTGACTGCTTTGAATTCTCCATCCCCTTATCACCTTATTCATGTAAGTGTTTTGTGTTGCCCATATAAAGAATATAATTTCCAAGAATTGATATACTAGCAGAAACTAAGTTAATATACTGAATACATGCTGCTACCTCAAAACAAGTTGAGGTCATTAATCCCAGCTGAGTCTCTTAAACATGTGCATGTCCATGATTGGAACCACAATGCTATTCCTACTCCTTCTGGAAGCAATGTTGATGCTCATGTACTTCTTACCACTACACACCATGTTGACTTCGATGATCTCTCCAATTACATGTGACCATATTAAGGTAAGTGTACCTTTTTGGCAATATATAGAATGTTAATTTCCAAGATTTAATGAACTTAGCTAATATCTGTAATTCATCCTGCCACCTGCACCCATGTTGATGTCATTGACCTCTGTTTCCTCTGTTAACCTTGATGATGTCTATGAAAGGACCTGCCTAGCATTCCTATTGTTTCTGTAAGCCATATTGATGCATGTGGTCCCTGTTACCATGGGATAACATGTTGATTGCCATTAACTCTCTGGCTCCTTTTGACCATATTAATGTAAATGTTCTGTGTTGCCAAAATAAAAAATGTAAATTTCTAAGAACATAATTCCAACTGAAACTAAGTTTATACCAGGAATACTTGTTGTCACCTCCAACCAAATTGAATTCATTCATCCCTGCTGCATCTATTAGACATGTATATGTCCATGAGAAGACATATCATGCTATTCCTACTATTTCTGGAAGCATGTTGATGCCAGGGTTCTTTTCTTACTATGGATCTGATGTTGATGTCCATTTGTCCTGCTACTTGAGACCATGTTCAGTCTTTCCATTATGAAGAAAGTTTATTTTCCTCATCTCAATTACCAAAGTTAACTATGTGGCTAACCATTCAACATGTTGCCACTTGAAACCTTGTGGATTTAATTGATCCCTGCTAATTCTGTTACCCATATGTATATCCATGTTTAGAAGTACAATGCTTTTCCTACTACTTCTGGTAGCAGTGTTAATGCTCATGTTTTTGTAAACAACTTGACATCATGTTGGTTTACATAATCTCTCCTGATACTGGTGGTCATGTTAATATAGGTGTTTCTTGTTGCCAATGTATAGCATGGTAATTTCCAAGATTTAACCAACTTTTGGTAACTGATACACATAATTCATGCTGTCACCTGCAGCCATGCTGATGTCATTGATCACTGCTGCCTTTGCAAACCCTGTTGATATTAATGAATGGAGCTCCCATGCATTCCTATTGGTTCTGTAAGCCATGTTGTTGCAGTCGGTCCTTTTTACCATGGGTTAATATCTTGTTTGCCATATATTCTCTGGCCCCTTATGGCCATATTAAGGCAAGTGTTCCTTTTTGGCAATGTGTAGAATGGTAATTTCCAAGATTTATCAAGCATTGGTAACTAAGCAAATATCCATAATTCATGCTGCCACCTCCTACCATGCTGATATCCTTTATCCCTGTTGCCACTGTTAACCCTGTTGATGTCTATGAATGCACCTCCAATGCATCTGTTAGTTCTGTAAGCCATGTTGATTCATGTGGTCCTTGTTACCAGGGGATAACACCTTGATTGCTTTGAATTCTCCATTCCCTTATCACCTTATTTTTGTAAGTGTTCTGTGTTACTCATATGAAGAATGTAATTTACCAGAATTGAAATACTAACAGAAACTGAGTTAATATCCTGAATACATGCTGCTACCTCCAAACAAGTTGAGGTCTTTAATCTCAGCTGAGTCTCTTAAAAATGTTCATGTCCACGATTGGACCCACAATGCTATTCCTACTCATTCTGGAAGCAATGTTGATGCTCATGATCTTCTTACCACTGGACACCAGGTTGATTTCCATGATCTCTCCTGCTACAAGTGACCATTTTAATGTAAGTGTTCTTTTTGGCAACATATTCAACGGTAATTCCTAAGATATAATGAACCTTTCTTAACTTAGCTGGTATCTGTACTTCATGTTTACACCTGCACTCGTGCTGATGTCATTGACCCCTGCTGCCACTGTTTACGTTGTTGATGTCTATGAAATGACCTGCTGGCATTCCTATTTGTTCTGTAAGTCATGTTGATGCATGTGGTCTTCGTTTTCATGGGATAACATCTTGATTGCCATGACCTCTCTGGCCCCTTATGGCCATATTAAGGTAAGTGTACATTTTTCCAACATGAAGAATGTAAATTTCCATGAACTGAATTACCAACTGAAGCAAAGTTGATATCTGGAATACTTACCGCTACCTCCATATAAATTGAATTCATTTATCCCTGCTGCATCTGGTAAACATGTAGATATCCAGGATCCTATGTCTTATGGTATTTCTGGCATTACTAGAAGCCATTTGGATGATTGTGGTCCTTCTTGCCAGTATATTCCATATAGAATTTCTTGAACTCTTGCCATCTGTGACAATGTTAATGTAAGGGTTCTGTGCTGTCAATGTGAAGAACATTAATTTCCAAGAATTTAACCACCAACTGAAACTAAGTTTATATACAGAATGAATGGTGCCACCTCCAAACATGTTGAAGTCATTGATCCCTCCTGCCTCTGTTGGACATATTGGTGTTTATGATTCTAATTATGATATTCCTAGTACATTTGAAATCCATGATGATGCCCATCATTTTTGTACCAGTAGATACCGTATTGTTTTTTGTGATCTCTCCTGCTGTCTTTGACCTTGTTAAATTAAACGTTCTCTCACCAACATGAAGAATATTAAGTTCCAAGATTTAACCATTGAAATGTTAAGTTCCACGATTTCACTGATCTTGGAAACTAATTTCATACCCATAATTCTTGGTGTCACCTGAATCCATGGTCATTTTATTGATCCCACTTGTCTCTGTTAACCATGTTGATGCTTATGATCAGAACTTCCATGCTATTCTTATTCCTTTTGGAAGCCATGTTGATTCCCATGCTCCTTGTAACCAATGGATAACGTCTTGGTATTGGTGACCTGTGTGGACAATTATGACCATATTAAGATAAATTTTCTGTTATTCTAACATGAACAAAGTAAATTTACTAGAAATCAACTACCATCTGAAACTAAATTAATATCCATAATTCATGCTGCTGTCTATAAACATGTTGATTCCATTGTTTCCTGCTCCCTCTTAACAGTTTTGATGTCCATGGTCAGACATTCCATGGTATTCCTACTATTTCTGGGAGGCAAGTTAATGCCTGTAGTTCTTCTTGCTGCTTAATATGAAGTTTACATCTATCTTTCCTGCCATTGTTTTGTGAATGAGAAAAACGTTAATTTTCAAGATTTAATCTGCAGTCTGAAAATAAGTTGATATCTATGATTCATGCTGCCGCCTGCAACCATGTTGATGTCATTGATTCTACTCTGTTAATCAAATTGATGTCTAACATAGGACATCATGCTATTCCTGCTTCTTCTGGAAGCCATGTAGATGCCTGTGGTCCTTCTTAACCACTACATACATTGTTGATTTCCAAGATCTCTCCTGCCCCTTTTGACTGTATTAAATTATTATTCTGTGTTACCAACATGCAGAATGTTAATTTGCAAGATTTAACCCACCATCCAAATGTAAGATGAAATCCATAATTCATGATGCCACCTGAAACCATTTTGATGTCATTTATCCCATGTGCCTCTGTTAACCAAATTGATGTCCATGATTGGATGACCTACCATGCTCTTCCTACTATTTCTGGAAGCCTTGTTCATGCTTGTGGTCTTTCTTACTGTAGATATGACATTGATGTCCATATCCATGGAGATCTTCTGCTACCGGAAACCCTATTGATGCAAGAGTTCTGTGCTGCCAACATGATGAATGTTAATTGCCATGATCTCAGCTACCATCTGAAACTATTGATACTTACATGCTACCACCTACAACCTTGTTGATGACATTGATGCCTGCTGTCCTCTTTATCATGTTCATGAACCTTTCTGTGCTATTCCTTTTGGTTTGAAGTTCATGTTGATGCCTTATGGTTATGTTTTGCTCCTGGATAAGATGTTGATGTTAATGGTCTGACCTGCCACCTGAGACCATGCTGAGGTAAGTTTTCTGTGTTGCCAACATGAAGAATATTGATTTCCATGAGTTGATCTGCCATTGGAACTTAAGTTGATATCTGTAATTCATTCTGTCCCTGGAACCATGTTGATACCACTGATTCTTGCTTCTTTTGTTTATCATGTTAATTACCACGATCTGACCCACCATGCTGTCCCTACTGCTTCTGGAAGCCATGTTGATGCCTGTGGTTCTTGGTGCTCAGGGATATGATCTTGATGTCAATGTTCTGTTCTGACTCCTGAATCCATGCTGAGGTAAATGTTTTTTGTTGCCACTGTAAAGTATGTTCTTCTTCTTGATCTAACCTACTATCCAAATCTAAGTTGTACTTCATCACCCATGCTTCTTCAGGCCACCACATTGATGTCACTGATCCTTGCTGCATGTTTTAACTATGTTGATATCCATGAGCCAACCCTCCATTCAAAACTATGTTGATGTTATGGATCCTTCCTACTTCTGGTAAGCATGTTGATATTCCTGTCTCAGTGTGACAGCAGAGGCTATGCTGCCACTGATAACTGTGTTGACATATCTAGTCTCTCTTTCCACTGGACACCATGTCATTTCCATGATCCTACTCATTCTGAAAGCTACATTGATAGTCTTTGTCTTTGATACCACCAGAGACCATGTTGATGTCCTTGTTCCATACTTTACCAGTAACCATGCTGCTATCCCTGATCTGTGCTGCCTTTGTTAACCATGTTGTTGTCTTGGATTTGTTTTGCCCCCCAAACCTGTGTTGATATCACTGATTTGTACTGCCAGTGGCAAACATTTTGATGTCTCTGAACCTTGCTGCCTCTGCTAGCTATGTTGCTGCCCATGATCTGACCTACCATTCAACCCCTACTGCTTCAGGGAGCCATGGCGATGCCTGAGGTCCTTGTTGCCCCTGGATGCGATGTTGATGTCCATGTTCTGTCCTTCCACCTGAGACCACATTGAGGTAAGTATTGTGTCCTGCCAACATAAATAATGTTGATTTCCTTGATTCCACATGCCATCCAGAACTAATTTAATACTCTTGATGCATGCCACTGCAGGAAATCATATTGATGTCACTGTTCTTTGCTGCATCTTCTAACCATGTTGATGTTCATCATCCAACCTACCATCCAAAACTTTGTTGATGTTACTGATCTATGTTGTAGCTGTCAACCATGTTGAGGTTACTGAACTTTGCTACCACCTGTAACCATATTGATGTCTGCAGTGTGCAGTGTCATCAGAAACAATGTTGAAGTCATTCGTCCATACTGCTACCTGAGACCCAGTTCAAGTAAGTTTCCTGTGCCACTCATGTGTACAATATTGATTTCCATGATCTGTCTGCCACCTGAAACCAAGTTGATATCCATGATCTATACTGACACAGGCAACCATGTTGGTATGACTTATTCTCACTGCCTGTCTTAACCTTGCTGATATCCATGATTCGACCTGTCACCTGAAACTTTGTTGATGTCACTGATCTTTGCTATTGCTGTCAACCATGTTGATGCTACTGAAACTTGCTTCCACTTGTAACCATACTGCTGTCTGTAGTCTGTTATCATCTGAGACAATGCTGAAATCAGTGGTGCATACTACCACCTGAGACCCACTTCAGGTAAGTGTCTTATGTTGGCAATGTATACAATGTTGATTTCTGTGATTTGTCTGCCACCTGAAACTAAGATGATGTACATGATCTGCCACAGGAAACCAACCTTGTTGATGTCACTGATCTTTGTTCCCTGTTTTGATCATGTGGATGTCCATTATCTGACTTAACATCTGAAATTATGTTGATGTCACTCATTCATGCTGCCGCTGATAACCATGTTTATGGCCATAGTCTTTGTTGGAATCTTAGACCTTGTGGATGTCCATTGTCCATGTTGCCACCTGAATCCATAATGATGTCCATGATGATTGTAGTCTGTGCTGCTGCTGGGGATTAGATCAATATAAATGATCTGAGCTGTCAACAGAAACTATTTTGATATCATTAAGCCATCCTGGTGCTGGAGACCATGTTGACATCTTTGTCCTTGCTGCCACCAAAAACTATGTTTATGTTCATGCTCTGGACTGCATGCTGAAGGCCAGTTGAATATCCATGACCCAGATGCTGATGGAGAATGTGTCATGTCTGTGGTTAGCACTGCCACAAGAAGGCATCCTGATAGTGATCTGTGATGCCTCCCGCATACATGATATGTTGGTGATCTGTGTTGATGTCATGGACCAGATGGATGTCAGTTATCCAAGCTGTCACCAGAAATCTTGTGGACAATGATCTGTGCTGCTGCTGGAAAACCTGTAGAAGTCTATGATCCATTCTGCTACTGGAAACCATGTGGAAGTCCGTGATCTGTGCTTCCACTGACTTCTACTGGCAGGGAGCTTCTTTTGCGGTGGTATCAATGACTGTAGAATCACAACTGAAATTCAGACAGACATTGAAGGCTTCTGTGCCACCATCCCCCCAAAAAAGAAAATCCAGACAGGATATTATTGGAGAATCCTTGAAAGTTGTAATAAAAATACTATATGTAACTCTTCATAGTTGATGGCTTCAGGCAGGGGTTGGGGAAGAACTCCTTTTTAAGGGGCTGGCCACTGCAAGTTTGACCATGCTCCAATGAGTATAAGGGTAACACAGATTGGACTTGTTATATTGTATTTTTTCTATTCTGGGGGAGGTCGCCACAAGGGTGGGAGGGTGGACCTGGGAATGGGAAGCAAGTGTGATTGAGGTTTGTTGTATGACATTCTCAAATGATTAATAAAATATTAGGTTGGGAAAATAAAAAAAAGTGTCAAATAGTGTGTATGTTAAATTTGGCCTACAACTGGTTCCTTATTTTAACTATATGACTTGAACCACAGCCTAACTATCTTAGCCATTGTTCTAGTGATGTAAAGAGACACCGTGATCAAAGCGACTATTACAAGAGAAAGCACTTAATCTGGGGCTTGTTTCAGTGTCCGAGGTTTAGGCCATTATCATCATGGCAGCAAACACGGTGGCATGCCAGCAGACTCTGGAGCAGTAGTTGAAAACTACCTCCCGATCCATAGGCACAGAGAGGAAAGACTTTGGACTTGGCATGGCCTTTTGGAACCTCACTGCCCACTCCATTCCCAGTGACACATTTCCTCCTACAAGGCCCCACTTCCTAATTCAAGCATTCAAGTATATGAGCCTACGGAGGCCTTTCTTATTCAAACCATCACATTGTCTTAGAATACTTTTTAAAAATTTTTTATTCTTTCAAGAGCTTATACATTTAGACAATATATTTTGATTTTATCCGTTGACCATTTCTTCCCTTCAACTCTCTGTAGTGGTCCCAGTCTGTCATCTTCTCAACTTCATGCATGCTTTTTTTGTTATTAATAACCCTCTGAGTCCACTTAGTGTTGCCCATGTGCCCATGTGTGTGAGTCCACCTACTAGAACATGGACAACCTAACAGAGGCCATTTCTCCAAAAGGAGTGACTTTCCCTTTCTCAGAAACCATCAGTTGCTCATAACCCCTCCAATGGTGTGCCCTTAGACACATCCTTCACAATTCATGTTAGAACTTTGAAGAGTTTGATCTTGAGTAGGTAACCAAAGTTAATTGGAGTATGCAGCAGTTATGTTATTTACAGAAATCTGCATTTTAAATCTCTGATTTGGTTTTCTCTTTCATTCTTTCGGCATGCTTTTCTGTGATATCCTCATAACTTTTGGTGAGTGAAGGTTAATATAGCAGATTCATCCATAGTTGAGCTCTCAGTTACTTATACTCTGTACTTTGACCAGCTATGAGTCTTTGCCTTAACCACAATACTGTGAAAAAGAAGCATCTCTGACCAAAGTTGAGAGTGACCCAAATCTAAGGGTATAAACGCAAATATTCAGTAGACAGATTGTAGCATGGCCATTAAATGTAACAATAGCAGTGTGGTCACACCTAGGGGCTGTGATTTCCCTAGTTTTAGTCTTTGGCCTAGTAAGTACGAAAGACCTCCTATACAGTAGGCTTCATATGCAAGTAGAAGGTTCTTTGTTACCCTGTAACTGTCATATCACTGTTAATACCAGTGGCCAAATTTCCCAGGCAGGTCTCTTGCTCTTTGCTGCTTCCATTGCACCTTCTGGAACTGTGTAAGCTAGCTAGAAGGAAGTGGAGTGGTGTCTTCAAAAAAGCTTAACCATCTAGTTATAGTTCAAAAATTAGAGCGGTGGCAGTAGCCTGCACTGTTTCACGTGACTCTCTGTGGCCTCTCTGACCAAAACTTGTAGGGAGGTAACTATGCTGGGCACACATTTTTATTTACTGACTCATACCTTTTGAAAGCATCATTGTCCTCCTGTGGAGAGACCTCCTCTCCAAACTCTTTTCAATATACATTATATTTCTAATTAGCTTACAATCTAGTCTATTTCCACAAGGCTTCTGCATATATCCATACATATATTTCAACATCCCATCCCCATCCTCACTTAAACTTTTAACCTGGATTATCCCAACCACCTATTTCTCATTACCTGTGTTCTCCAATCCACTCTGATTATACAGTATTTTACACAGGTGGCTATTTCATAGCTTTCTGTATAGCCTTGAATACACCCTACATTTTGATTAGACATTCCACCACTCCTCCATTTTCTCACCCCACTCCTTTCAATGTTTTATTTCTTTCCTCCTCCAGTATTTCCCATTTCCCTTATGTTTTAATATCTCCCCTCCATTAATGTGTCTCTCCCCAAAGGGCTTCTTTCTTAAGTACCTGGGTTCCACGTAAAGTCCTGGTTAATGATACACACAATGGATTCAAAGATAACATCCACATCTAAGAGAGAACATGGCATTTGTCTTTCTGATCTGCTTGTATTACTCAGGATAAGTTTTATCAGTTCCATATATAACAGTAAATCTCATGATTATAATTTTTATAGGTTAGTAATATTTCATTGTGTCTATGTGGCACAATTTCCCCTTAACCATTCTTCAGTTGATGGGCATCTAGTTTGATTCAATTTCCTATTGTGAATGGAGCCACAGTGAAGATGGATGCCCAAGTGCCTCTGTGGTAGGATACGAATGTTTTCTGTACATATTCAAGAGTTCTGAACATAGCCCATATGGCAGTTCTGTTTTTATACTTTTGAGAAACCTCCACATTGACTTCCACAGTGGCTACACCAGGTTGCACTCCCACAAAATGTAAATATTCCCCTTTCATTACATCCACACCATGATCTATCTATCTACCTACTATCTATCTATCTATCTATCTATCTATCTATCTATCTATCTATCTATCTATCTATCTATCTAAATAAATAAATAAATAAATAAATTCTGAGTGAGATAAGATGAAATCTCAAAATGTTTATTTTTTATACATTTTAAATAATATATCACTTCATCCTTCCCTCTCTTGTAATACCCCACATCCTTTCTAATTGGTGGTCTCTTTTTCTTTATTATTGTTACATATAAATATGCATGTATTTATAAATATAACCTGATCAGTCCATTTTTTTTATCTCAGGGCTGACCACTTTGTATTGAGTAACCAATTAGGGGGTCTCATTTCTTGACAGGTAAATTTTCCTTCTCTCAGCAGTCATTAGTTGCCTAGAGTTCTTATCTAGGGGTGGAACCCTGTTCTATTTCCCCCTTACCATCATTGGCCAGGTCTCATTTGGGCAGCAATACTGTTGCAATGTCATGGGTATAGCTTCCTTTTCATTTTTAGGAGACACAATCCCATAGTAGAATTTCTTGTCCTCTGGCTCTTAAAATACTTCTGTTTCTTCTGTGATGTTTCCTGAATCCAATGTCAGGAGTTGTGTTATGTTGTAGATGTATTCTTTGGGCTTTGGCTCCTGACATTTTGTTTATCTCTCCAGCGTGACTTTTTCTTGTCATGGCCTCTGTTTCATTCATGTGCTACAGAGAGAAGTTTCTCTGATGAGGGGTGAGAGCTACATTTATCTGTGGGTATAAAGGTAAGATTTAGAATGCAATTTGGAATTATATACCACCCCTAGTAAAGTGGTGTTAGTAGTTAATCTTTTTTTAAAATATTTTTATTTTATAATTAACTTAATTTACCTATCAGCCATGGATTCCCCTGTCCTCCTTCCTTCCACCCCCAGTCCTCCCCCCCAATCCACCCAACATTCCCACCTCCTCCAAGGCAAGGTCTCCCCTGGGGAGTCAGCCCAACCTGGTAGACTCAGCCGAGGCAGGTCCAGTCCCCTCCGCCCTAATCCAAGGCTGAGCAAAGTGTCCCAGCATAGGCCCCAGCCTCCAAAAAGCCAGCCCAATGCACCAAGGACAGGTCCTGGGTCTACTGCCTGGGGGCCTCCCATACAGTTCAAGCTAATCAACTGTCTCAGTTATCCATAGGGCCTGGTCCAGTTCCATGGGTGCTCCTCAGCCATTGGTTCACAGCTTATGCGTTTCATATACACAATGGACTACTACTCAGCAGAGAAAAACAATGACATCATGAGGTTCGCAGGCAAATGGATGGAACTAGAAAAAATCATCCTGAGTGAGGTAACCCAGACTCAGAAAGACAAGTATGGTATATACTCACTCATAAGTGGATACTAGGTGTAAAGCAAAGGATATCCAGACTACAACTCACAACTCCAGGGAGGCTACCTAGTAAAGAGGACCCTAAGAAAGATACAGGGATTGCCCAACAACAGAGAAATGGATGAGATCTACATGAACAAACTGGGTGTGTGTGGGGGGGGTAATGGAAGGCTAGGGTCGGGGAAAGAGAGCTTAGGGGGGAGCAAGAGGTCCCAGCTTCCAAGATACATGATTTCACTATCTGGGTATTTGGCTAGATTTCTAGTACTAGGCATGATTTTACTTCTGGTAAGTGGGATCTAAGTCCAATTAGACAGCTATTGGTTATTGCCAAGAGGTGACTGCATTGCAACTGTTCTGGTTCACAGTTTTCACAGCTGTACAGGACTGCCAATCCAATACTTCTCTTGGCACCTTTCCTGATACATTATTGTAATATGAAAGCTAGACCACAGGAAGAAGGCTTTCAGATTAGATCCAGCTTCAATCCCAGTCCTATGTTTGAAATGCATGATGTCTTCAGCAATAAAGACTTAGCTTCAACTGTAGAAGGCAACCAAAAGGCAACAGCAATAGCTGTTTTGGAAGCCATTTCAGCCACCCTAACCAACAACTCAAAAGGATGTTTTTCATGCTTGGTACTGGGGATTTTGCTAGTTTATGGCTTTTGTGGGTAGTATTGTCTAAGTAGCATAACTTCATCACACATATAATTTTAGGCAAATATGAGAGAATATGATTTCTTGAGGTTTTATTAGACAAATGTCCTTGGTGTGCTTTGTCCCTATTTCCACTCTATCTGTACTGATCTCCTTCTCCTTCCGTTATTAAGGTGTCCTCCCTCTTTTACCATTTTCCCCTCATATCACCTATACTCGCCATGTGGTCCTTTTTACTCTTCCAGTTACTGCGTTCTCTTGGGGTTTTACTGTTGTCAGAGCTACCATGTCCATGACAACTCTTATAAAGGGAAATATTTCATTGTGCCTGGCTTCCAGTTCAGAGGTTTAATCCATTGTTGTCATGATTGGAAGCATTGTCGCGTGAAGGAAGTCAGGGTGCTAGAGGAGCT